GGATTCGAACCCGCCACCTTAGGTGTATGTGGCTGGCGCCTTAACCACTTGAGCCACAGGCGCCGAGCCAGCTTCTGCTTTCTGAGATTAATCAAAGGCACACAGTTTTGATCAAGTTCAAAACTCATGTCCTGGCCAGGCACAGTGGCTCACACCTGTAATCCTAGCACTTTAGAAGACTGAGGTGAAAGGATCATCTGAGGCCAGGAGTTTGAGACCAGCATGAGCACCGCAGCAATACCCCATATCTACAAAACACAGATTTGCTGGGCCTGGTAGTGCCTGCTTGTAGTCTCAACTAATCAGGGGGCTGAGGCAAGAGGATAGCTCAAGCCCAGGAATTTGAGGTCACAGTGAGCTGTGACAATGCCACTGCACTCTAGTTCAGGCAACAGAGAGACCTGGACTCGAAAATAAATAAATACCTGTGTTTTGGTCCTGAGCATTTCCTAGACAACCATCCAGCCTCCTCCCCTGTCCTCCCTTCCAGAACCTTCACCCCCACTCAAGCTTCCCCTTCTCTCAGACATGGTTGGCTGGGCTCTCAAGGCTCTGCACTCTGTGTAAAGAATCTGCTTCCTTCGCTACCTGAGAGCTGCTCGCTCTCCCTTTATGTCACGTGTCACCTCCCCCAGGAAGCCTTCCTCTTTACAGCCAGACAGTCCCTTTATGTCACGTGTCACCTCCCCCAGGAAGCCTTCCCCTTTAACGCCACAGTCGGTTGCTCTGGCTTCTGGCCCACAGCAATCTATGCTTTAGTACGGCTCTTACCTCAGGCTTTTTGAAGTAGCTTTGTAAATGTCTCCCCTCTGATTACCTATAGACTGAGTCCCCTGCAGGTGGAGATGGTGTCTTTAGGGGCCTGACCCCCGCAGGCCTTGCCCTTGGATCTGAAGGATCTGAAGCTGACTCGTCTATCTGTCTGTTTGTCTCTCCCTTCACCCCACAGAGGAGTGCGAACTGAGCCCCTGGGGCAGCTGGAGCCCCTGCACACACAACGGGAAGACATGTGGTGCAGCCTGGGGAATGGAGACCCGGGTCCGAGAGGCCACCCAGACAGGGCGGGAAGAGGCAGCCACCTGCCAGGTGCTGTCTGAGTCAAGGAAATGTCCCATCCAGAGGCGCTGTCATGGAGGTGAGCACCAGGACAAGCATGTGGGGCTGCAGATAGCAGGACCCACAGATGACTTGAGTGGCATCAGGATACTGCCCCCTGTGTTCTAATGTAGGCTGCCCGAAAGGCCATATCATTGTGGACACATCACTCTCCCAGTGTCCTTTCAAAGGAGGATTTTTGTTGCTGGGATCAGTCCCAAATGCTTTAGGAGGATAGAGCTGTCAGATGTTCTTAACCCTTTCACCTGTCAGGCAGCACCCCGTCCCTGTTCACTAAATGTCACTGCAGCCCCTAAGATACAGATTTCCCATGCCCCTGGGAGCCATTGAGAACCACTGATTTAAACAGAAGAAAGGCCACAGAGCATGGCTGGGAAGATGTGAATGGTGAGCAGTAACAACATGGAACCAGCAGTGCTAACTGTGCAGGTGCTATATGCCAGGCACTGTGCTAAGTTCCTACAGTCATCAACTCATTTAATCTGCACGATCTCACTATGAGGAAGGTATTATTATTATTAACTTCATTTTACAGATAAGGAGACTGAGGCGCAGAAAGGTTGAGTCACTTGGCCAAGGGTCACACAGCCAGGGTGATGTGGATTGGTGTTCAAACATAGCTGGATGTGCAAAGAGGAATCTAAAGTCATGCAGAAGGAGCAGGGGCCTGCAGCCCAGCCACCTGGAATACACTGCTGGGATGTGGCGGAGCCAGGGTTTGAACCCAGAGACTCCTTTAGTTTCAGAATATATGGTATCTGGGTAGGAAGTGCAGAGAGCAGAGATGGGGGCCTTTAGGAGCCATAGTGGGCAGTTAGGGACAGAGAATGAAATTGAGATGGGACCAGAGAAACTAAGAGACGCCAGACCCAGGGAAGCACTTACACAGGCAGGCGGACAATTTCTGTAGCCTTCATTGCTGTGGCTACACTGTTGATAGTATATGAGAGCTGGTAGTTGACTGGCTGTTGAAAGACCAAGAAAAGTAATACTAATTATTATTATTAATTATAATGATAATAATAATCATAATGATAATAATAACATAATAATTATAATAACAGCAGCAACCATTGATAAAACACTTATCATGTGCTGGCGCTATGCTAAGTGCTTTGTAAATATGACTCCAATTCTCACAACAACCCCACAGAGGCTCCTTGCGTCAGCTGGGGCTCAACTCAAATATCTCCTCCTCGGAGCAGCTTTCCAGAAGTGCCCCCTCTTGCATCATTTTCCATCGTGTCACGTCACAGCACTTACATCTTTCTGAAGCGGTCTTGCTCTTGCTTGCGTTTGCTGGTCTAGGGTCTGTTTCCTTTACTCTGCCTTGTTCATGGCTGTCTCTCTGGAGCCTCGAGCAGGCCTGCAATGGGCAGGCATCCGGGTAACATCTGTAGGATGAGTGGATGGATGGGAGCGTGGGAGGGTAGCTGGCTGGGTGCCTAGGTAGGTGAGTGGAGGGATGGATGGCCAGGTGGGTGGATAGGTGGGTGGAGGGATGGGTGGGTGACTGGAGGGGTGCATGGGCAGTGACCAGGCATTCACTGGGACATGATATAAAGACATGCACCCCCACATCCCCACCTTCAGAGCTGGCAAGGGCCAATCAGGCAGCACCTACACCCCATCCCCACCTGAGAGCTGCACACGCAGTCAGCCCCAGAGCTTAGAGTGGGAGCTGGCTTCAGAGTAGGCATGGGGGGAGCCCCAGAAGTTGGCAGGCTGGTCTGAGAGGCTGACCCTGCCCCTGCCCCTGCCCTGCAGCTGACTCCTATAGTTGACACTTGAGAAAGGAAACTGCTGCCCCTTGCCACTGGCTCTGAGGTTTCTAACCACCTCGCTGTGTGCCCTCAGCTGGGCACACAGCTCCCTTTGGAGGACTCAATGGGGGTCAAATTGTGTGCAAATGGCCTAGGTGGGGAGACACTCCATAAAACAGAAATCTGGGGCTGGCCTGGCTCCCAACCACACCTCTCTTTTTCACATCAATAATAATAATGACAAACAACCGCTAGGAAGAACATTCCAGGTGGCCAGCGTGCTCAGTGCAAGGTGTGGAGGTTCAGGGCTGAGGCCTGGAAGAGAGTGAGCCAGGAGGAGGCAGGCTGCTGAGAGGACAGGCAGAAGCACAGGCCAGGCAGGCCAAGGCGAGGACTCGCTCCTTTTGCCACATGAGCTGGAGCCATTGGAGAAGTTTGAGCACAGAGATGACCAGACCTCTTTGCTCTTAGAAAGAGCGTGCTGGGGTTCCATCCACTTCTCCCAGCAATCTGGGCTGGACTCTAGAAACTCCAGTGCAGGTTGTGACACTGAGCAGGTCATCCCCTGGCTGGGCCTCAGACTCCTCATCTGGAAAATGGGGCTAACCAGATGTTTGTGTTAGACCCTAGTTCCATGGGGGTCAGGGGTCAAGACTCTGAGTTAGGCCCTGGGTTTGCATCCTAGCCTACAGTGGGTACTGAGTGGGGGGGACCCCTCCATTCCTGTCAGATGGGGCAACGGGGCTGTCCCTGCCCCTCTCTGCAGTTGTGAGTTTAGCACTTGGTGCTGTGACCAGCAGTAGCTAAAAGCTCAGTTACCATCACTCTTGCTGTTGTGTTAGTTGAAGGGCAGAGCCTTTGGCAGGGAGGTGAGTGGAGAAGTTGGTGTAGAGACCCCAGTAAAAAGTGTTGAATCTCCAGCAAACAGCCTGGTAAACAGCAAAGTGAATACACCTGGGAGGGTCACCCCCTCCCCCGAATGAGGCCACTTAAGTCCTGACCTGGGTTCCCATATGGACCTTCAGGCCTGGCCAGGGCAGATGCTCAGTACAGGGGGCCCATAGCGAGTTAGTGCCCTTCTCTTCCTAAAGAACTAGGAGCAAAGGGCATTCAGTTTGGGGTAACCCAGCCTGCAAACTCTACAAAGGAGGGGTTGTAAGGTCCACACCCCGATGTCCTGGGCCCCGTTGTGAGGGGGTGGGTGGGGCACCTTTGTCTTGCAGAACTGGGGAGCCTGCCGGGACCTTGCTGGCCCTGCAGCCTCAGACACGGGCCCTGTGCTCTCACTGCAGAGAGAAGCCCCAGCCAGAAGAAGGGCCGGAAGGACCGGCGCCCGCGCAAGGACAGGAAGCTGGACCGCAGGCCCCAGGCCCGGCCGCGCCCGGCCAGCCGCCAGCCCTGACTGCTGCCTGCCCTCTGCTCCTTCTCCCCTGCCTCTTCCTCTGCCCTCTGCTCCTTCTCCCCCGGCCTCTTCCTCTGTGTATCCTCCCTCTTCCTCCCTCTTTTCTCTGTCCCTCTACCTTTTCTTCCTTCTGCCTTATTTCCTTTATTCCTTCCATCTCTACTTTGCTCTCTTTCCTTCCTCCCTCTCTTCCACCCTCTTCTTTTTTATCTTTCCTTTGATCTGTCTCTCTTTCCCTTCTTTCTGTCCTTCATGTCCCCCACCAACACCCCCACACTCACTAGGAGAGAGACCACGAGCCCAGGCCCTCCCTGCAGCTCTCTGTCTACTCCCTAAGGAAAGCAAACGTCTTTTTTCTGGGCCTTTCCCTGAGCCTGTTCTGGGGTGAGGCCACAGCACAGCAGAGCTCTTTGATTCTTGAGCGCTGTGCTTCTGCTCCTGAGGGGACCCCAGAACCCAGGCTGCAAGCGCCTCAGCCTCTGGCCAATCCCTGGGGGCCATTTCCACAGCCCCCAGCCACCAGCTCCACTAAGAGCCCACCGGAAGATGTTCCAAGGCCCCCCAAGGCCTGGCTGGGACAGGTCTCCCCAGTTGGCCATAGAGGAGCCATGACAGGTCCTCTGGCTGGACTGTCAGCCCTGTGCTGTGGCCCTAGCCCCTGGAAACTGCCTGTTGCACCCCCATCCACGCTCCTCACCAGGCTGCCTCTCATGGTTTCACCCCAAGCTGACGGATTCTCTAGGACTTTGGGGATCCCGGGGTCAGGTGGGGCTGTCGCCCCTGAGGAAACCTCCAGCCCAGCCCAGAAGAGGCCATCGAAGCTGAAAGGCGTGCTGAGATTGTCCAGTCACTCTGTTCCTCACCCCAGCACCTCCTGCCTGTTGTCCCTATGGAGAAACTGAGGCCTGAGAAGGAAGGGATTTGCCTGTCGTCACACAGGGAACCCTCACTTTCTGCCTCTGCCTGATGGTTGCCCACTCAGCACATCCACTACTGAGAGACTCTGGGGGGCTTCTCGGGAGAGGATGAAGGAGATTGTTGGGACAGGAGCAAGGGATGAGCACCCCACTCACCTGCACCCACCACTGACACCCTGAGCATTTGTGTGGCACTGTGACATCCCCTTCTCCCAGGCAGGAAGAACACTGGGAGGACCCTCCAGGTTGGACTGAGCTTAGAAGCAAGCTTGTTCTCACTGCCATCATAATTCCCCCTTCCTCCTTTGTTCTCCAGAACCCCCAGGATGGGGCGCTCCAGACTTGTACATGCCACTACCTGCTGGCCTGAGCTCATGAGACTCATTGGCCAGGAGCAGCAGTGGGCACCAGAACCCAGTACCTGAGCCCCAAGGGGCCCCAGGGTAGTCTGGGAGGGAAGGTGGTTAGGAGGCTAGGGGAGAAGCTCTAAGTGATCGAATGTCACATACCCAATCCCACCCTCACACTTGCCCTCACGTAACAGACGGGGATCCCCGGCACTGCTTCTGCTGGCCACTGGGAGGCCTGGCCCCCAAGGCCCACCCTCACTCTCACTTCCTCCCTCCCAGCTCCCTGAGGACAGCTAGAGCCACTCCAACTGTGCCCAGGCCACCAGCTTCCATTCTGCAAGTTTGTGCCTCTGAAATGCTCTGTTGTTTCAAGAATCCAACTTTTTTTTAAAATAAAGAGAAAAGAAAAAAACTTGCAAATGCCTCTTGGGTTACCAAACCGTGATGTTGATGAGTTTGGAGTAGCAGAATCTGAAATATGCGGCATGGTTTTCACTGGAATGCTCAAGGCTGAGAGGGGTAAAGGTGCATTGGGGACAGGGTAGATTTTCAGCCGGGGGGGGGGTCACTGAGAAAAGAGGAGAGACCCCCCAAGATTCCCCAGGTCCTTCTCAAAGAAGTGGCTCAGCCAGAGGCAGAAGTGGGCAACCCTGGCCAGGTGCCAGGGCTCAGGTCTATAATCCTACCACTCTGGGAGGCCGAGACAGGAGGATTGTTTGAGCTCAGGAGTTAAGACCTGCCTGAGCAAGAGCAAGACCTCATCTCTAGAAAAAATTAGCCAGGCATAGTAGTGGGCGCCTCTAACCCCAGCTACTGAGGAGGCTGAGGCAGTAGGATTAAGTCCAGGAGTTTGAAGTTGCTCTGAGCTATGATGATAACATAGGACTCTACCCAGGGGAACAAAGTGATTTTGTCTCAAAGAAAAAAGAAAAAATAGGGCAACACCATACCCCCCAGCACCTCTCAGTGGCTCTAGGAACCTATCTGTGCTCTATATGCCATGTCTCAGTGACCAGGGGCATCTAGGATGCTGACAATCCCATGAAACCATCTAAATGCCTTGGGCTCCTGATGCATTGAGAAGATAAGGATTGAGTTCCAGGCTGTCACTGACTTTCCCTTGGGTCCAGGCCAACTCGTTCCTCCTTTCTAGGCCTCAGTTTACCCATTTCATAGATGAAGAGGAAGCATGGCTGGATTAAACCTATTGCCCAAATCTGGGAGGCTGAACGGCATCCGTTGGGAAGCTTCTTAAAACTTCAGATTTCAGGGCCCCAGCCAATTGTGAACAAAGTTATTCATTGCAGGATAAGCTGAGGGATGAGGGGGAGGATGGGACTCAGATAACTTCCAGCTAGAATGCTGGGGGTTAAGATTTGAAGTGCAGTGATCTGGTTCTATAGAGTTTAGTGTCATGTGTGTGTACAGACACACACACACACACACATATATATATATTCTATATAGAGTTTTCTGCTAAGATTTAAATTATAGGCTCAGCACCTTGGCTCAACTGGCTAAGGTGCCAGCCACATATACCTAAGGTGGCAGGTTTGAATCCAGCCCAGCCCGCCAAACAACAATGACGGCTGCAACCATAAAAAATAGCCGGGCGTTGTGGTGGGCACCTGTGGTCCCAGCTACTTGGGAGGCTGAGGCAGGAGACTCGCTTGAGCCCATGAGTTGGAGGTTGCTGTGAGCTGTGATGCCACGACACTCTACCCAGGTGAATAGCTTGAGGCTCTGTCTCAAAAAAAAAAAAAAGATTTAAATTATAGGATGCTGAAGGTTCTAAATTCCGCAGCTCTAAAAGATCAAGATAAGAATGGAAGTTCCCAATCCTTCAATTCCCTGGTCAGTTTCTTTCCCCACAGGGGGCCTGGTCCTCTGGTTTGTGAATGCTTCCAAATTTGAAGATAAAGTATCCTGGAGGCCCAAGCCCCTCTTGTAACCTTTGGATCTCCAGCATTCTGCTCCCAGCTCCTAATCGCAAGCTCTGTCACATTCCCTGGAGGACTGAGGTGCAATGCAGACCCTCTGTTGTTGGGTGGTCACCACCTACAGCCTGCCTTCTTACAGACGAATCTTTTTTCTTTTCTTTTCTTTTCTTTTTTTGAGATAGTCTCACTCTGTCACTCTAATTAGAGAGTACCACGGTGTCATAGCTCACAGCAACCTCCAACTCCTGGGCTCAAGCAAGTCTCCTGCCTCAGCCTCCCAAGTAGCTGGGACCACAGATGCCCACCACAAAGCCCGGCTATTTTTTATGGTTGCAGCCGTCATTGTTGTTTGGCGGGCTGGGCTGGATCCTCTTGCCTCAGCTTCCTAAGTAGCTTGGGACTACCGGTGCCCCCCTAAAACACCCAGCTGTTTTTAGAGATGGGGTCTCAGTCTTGCTCAGGCTGGTCTCAAAATCCTGAGCTCAAGCAATTCACCTGCCTCAGCCCCCCAGAGTGCTAGGATTTCACTCTACATGAGCCCCCGTGCCCGGCCTATTACAGGCGAATCTTGAATAAGTTCACAGAGAACTCAGCTACTGGCGAGGGGGGCACAGCCAAGAAGGGGCAGTTTGGACAAACCCCTGAGGAATATTCAACTGCTCTGGGCCCTCCCGATGCTGCTTGGCTTGAACTGGAGATTTCTGCTTGATCTCCGGCTCCCCCATTCCAGGTGAGCCACACACACTCCCTCTCATCCTGGCCCCATCCCACCTACACTTTACCCCTGCCTTGCATGTCATCCCACATTGTGCCACTAGAGGGAGCCACTCAACCGAAAACAGGGAAGCAGCTGGGACTGTAATTTAGCGCATTTCTGAAATAGGGAGGATTTAACGCTCTTCTCTCCCAGCAGGCCTGCCGGAGGGTGGAGGGCTTTGGAGGCAGGGGAGAGATTGTCTCCCGCCTAAGGTCAAAGGACGGCCGTTGCAATAGTGGTTTCAATCGCGCCTGCAGCAGTGCAGAGCGTCAGACCGGGAGGTCCCTGGCCCAGGCCCTTCCTTGCACTGAGGCAAAATCTGACTCGGGAGAGAATCTGAGCCCAACATCCCACACGAGTCACCAGAGTCACCGTGATTTGACTTCTTGCCCCAGGTGACTTGTGGATTACTACATTTCCCATCCTACATTGTCCTTCTAACTTCTAATGTGCGTTCTTGTAATAAAAATAGCAGTGAGGAGGAGGAGGAAGATGAGGACATCACGTATTTTTGGAGCCTCTACTATGAGCCGGACACTGCTCAGCACTTCAGGTACGGTGTCCCATTTCCTTTGCTCTTCTCTCCTCCATATAAATCATAACTACAATTCTTCCTATGAACCCCACATTCTCCCATCCTTTGTCTCCTGCCACCTCCACAGCAACCCTACAACCTTACAGAAGAGGAAACTGAGGCCCAAATGGAAGTCACTCGTAATCCATTAGTCTTGTCCATCCATTCATTCACTAAATGTACAAAAAGTGCCTACTGTGCATCTAGTGCTGTGCTGGGTACTAGTGACAAAGACCTTGGCCTTGTCCCCCAAGCCCTCAGTACGCAGATAATTCAATTCGGCTGGTGTGATAAGAGCTTCCACAGAGGGCAGGATCTGGGAGGAGGGACAGCAAATCCTGTCTAAAGCCACCTCTGGAGGCCAGGGAGCTCCTCCTCCAGGACCAGATTGCCAAGCTGAGAACATTTCCTGGATGGGGTGGAGGGAGTCCTAGATAGAGCAAACAGCATGTGTAAAGGAATGGGGGAGAAGCTGTTCTTGGGCGTGCCGACCTTTGAATTTCTTAGCCTCTTAAACTACCAGCCCCTAGAACATGGTGACTCAGCCCTGTAGTCTTCCAACTCCTCCACTCTAACCCCCTCAACACCCAGCTTCACTCCTAGCCAGGTCTTTCCATTTGACCTGCCATCCAGGAGGTGAAATAGATTGTCCAGCCAGACCTGCCCCTGAAAAAGCCACTCAGAAGTGTGTCCTCCAGGCCCAGCTGTTGCTGCCCCCCAGCTGCAGAGTCCTTCCAGCTAGGGTCCCAGCAGAGATGAGCCACCCACCTTGTGCTGTTTTGAACTCCTGATCCTCAAAACTCACAAACATAATAAAATGATGGCTGTTTTATGCCTCTAAGGTTGGGGAGGGCCTTTTTGCAACATTAGAACAGGAGAGTGAGATGGGTAGGAGCAGACAGGGGGATCACAGATCCCCTCACTACCACTGACCAGCCATGAGCCTTTAGACAAGATTCTGTACTTCTTTCTGTGCCTTAGTATTATTATTATTATTATTATTTTGAGGTAGAATCTCATTCTGTCGCCCCTGCTAAAGTGCCATGGTATCATCACAGCTCATAGCAACCTCAAACTCTTGGGCTCAAGTGATCCTCTTGCTTCAGTCTCCTGAGTAGCTGGGACTACAGGTGCCCACCACCATGCCCCACTAGTTTTCTATTTTCAGTTGAAACAGGATCTCACTCTTGCTCAAGCTGGTTTCTCCTGAGCTCAGGAGATCCACCCACCTCAACCTCCCAGTGTGGTAGGATTATAGGCGTGAGCCACCAAGTCTGGCCAGTTTCCTGATATTTAAAAGGAGATAATAAGGGTACCCCTCATGGTGTTGCTGTAAGATTTCAATGAGCTCATACATGGGAAAGGGTTAAATACCTAGTAAGTCCTCAATAAATTTTTTTTAAATTATCACATGTATTTCATTTGTTCACTCAACAAACATGTCCTAAGCACTAAGCCTGAGTCGAATTTAAATATTTCAATTTATCCTCCCAGAGCCCTTTGAAGGGAATTTTGTCACCATTCCCTTTTTTCAAAGACAGGGAATCTGAGGCTCAGAAAGTGAGTAGAAGAATGAGAACACAAAACCCTTGCCCTCCACCAGGTGGCCACTTCCTGCACAAGGAACCCCCAGGGGCACATCCCACTCAGCCCAAGGAGGTGAGCATCACGTGACATAAATGTGTTCAAAGCTCCGCCGCTCAGCATGGATCCTGTATTGCCAAAACCACTTAATCCAGAAAAGGAAGC